CCAAGAAAGCTTTTCTTAATCCCCACGATAAAAGCTGCCACCATAAACTGCCCAACACCTATAAGAAAGCTTTTCTTAATCCCCACCATAAAAGCTGCCACCACAAACTGCCCAACACCTATAAGAAAGCTTTTCTTGATACCGACCGCACAAAAGAGGCGAAGAAGTGTTCAAGAGAAGTTCTCTTTGAGACTCCGGCATGGCGGCCCTCTCACCCGAGTTCAGGGACGCGCTAAGCTCCTCTCTCATTGGGGTTTCGGCGCTCACACTCGGACAATCTAGGCGAGGCATATGGTTCCAGGTCTGCCAGGAAGCGAAACAACCCCACTTTAGGGTTTAGGGTTTAGGGGTGGTTTGGGACCGGTTTGGGATTTAGGCTGTGTCGGGCCGAAAGGATCTGAATTTGTTCCTGCCAGATCCCGGGTTGTTGAAACTCTCGACAAGACGCCCGTAAGGCCCAAGCCTTTCGACTGTTTAGGGTTGAGGGCTTCGAGTTTCCAGAAGGGGACTGTTTGTGCTTCAGGCTTACCGTCACTTGCTACCGGTTAAGCAGAAGCCAGAAAGTTGGAACATCGCTATGCCCATGCCCTAAACGAAAAGCATAGGAGATCCTGGCACAGATAATCCCGACTCCATGTTCCAATTTTCTGGGATTTACTATAAGGTGCATCCTGAAAGCTATGGGTAGGACACCGTGCCAAACACGAGTGTAAGTTGGACTTCGAGCTGTGGCACACGAAGACTGTTCCGGTAGAGGTTGTGTCGCTGCTTGCATGGACAAAGGGTGCAGTCGGGAGTCCACAGCAAGCAGTGCTTCAGTCTGGTGCTTCATCCTTCCACCATACTGCAGCGACTCTGCCAATGCCATGCACAAAGGACAAAGGCTGCGAGCCTCATACCGCAATGCCTTGCAGTGGGCGGGTTTGCTGTGGAAGGCCTAAACCTGAAGAGTAGAGGTCGGCGTCTACGCACCTAAACTCAAGCTGAAGTCTCGCCAGCCGGATCCCTGGCCCTAGACCCCAGGTAGTTCTCTAAAGTAGGGTCCCTTTTTGGATCCCCAATATACTACGGCATCCTTATAAAAAGGACCCTAACAGGGACCCTAATCTAGAGAACTACCCACTTTGGGATTGTGCACTACGCCTACTTGGCAGCTCTCCTTGCCAAAGGCGTGATTCTTTCCTCGGCAATCGAGAGGGGGCGCGATGTCTCGCAGGTGTATAACTGCTGCCTATGACGGCTAGGCCAGCAACCTTTCCTCATGAATGGCGCAGCCCCTCAATGAAGTGTACTTGTGGGACAGAAAACGCGAATATGGTCGAATTGCGTATCGGAGGTCCGCTTAAAAAGAAAAAGTCACGGAAACATCAGAGGCGGGCGGCTCGAGTGATCCAGAGTGGTTTTCACCAATCCGGCCATCATTCGATTGCACCTCACATGTCTGAAGCTTATAGGCTTTGGGGCTTGCAATGTGTGGGTTTTAGGAACGGGGCTTACGGGGTTTATCGCCTTGAAGTTCCATCTTCCAGGTTGTATTCGCGTTCTGCGGGGTTAAGCTCTATGTATATGACATAGGTGACAGTGAGCTCTGCCAGCAGATCGGCCTGTGCTTGCGCAGGTATGGCTTCCCTCTTAATTCAAGTATTGGGCCATCCGGACTTAGACTTTTTCACATTTCTGGAGTAAGCGGTGGCGGAATCTGATCCCTGTAGGGCTTCCAGCTGACTTTTGGTCACGTGTCATGCTCATACCTTTTCTCCCAAGCCCGGCTAGTAAGGGGCCGCGTTGGGTACTATTGAGCGGCTGAGATGCATGGGCTGCAGATTGCTGAGAAATGACGTGTTTTTAGAGAAGAGTCATTGAAGCTACCTTCGGATATGCCGTTAAGCAGCTCGAAGCCCAAGCCCTACACCCAAACCCTAAACCGAACCCCTAAACGTGGTAGCAGATCAGAGCAGACCTGTCCAGGTGACACTCCTAACCCTCCAGCTGTGAACCCGGAACTCCAAAACCCAACACAGTGGGTAGTGTTGGGTCCAAAGCTCCCGTAGCGCCCGACTCCTAAGTGAATCCTTACAAGGATCAAGCGCAAACCTGAACTCATCTTCGTCGCAGTACTTCCAGTGGGGCGTGACACGTCTTAGGCCTTCTCGCGCTATGGCTCTTATGGCTCCTTACACATGCTACTCTTGTTATCATGCCGACCAACGTCTTGCTCGAAAGCTGGGGCGTGGACTCATCGACCTCACAGCACGCAGTCAGTTAACGATGGAGCTTTTTGAGCTTCTCACTCGACTCTACGCCTAGAAGCAAGGGCCAAATTTCTTCGCCAGTCTTTGCACGGATTTTGAGGTAGTTGAACAACCCGTGGGGGAAGCTTCTGCACCTGGTCCTTCAGATGATCGCGCTTTGCCCGCTTTTCGCTGAGCACTTTGGCCACCTGTCCGTATAGCTTACAATCAGAAAAATGGTCGAAGCTCCACGCTGCGGGCTTGCAGTTTTTCGGCCTACATGTTAAGGCGCACAACACGAAGGGGAATGGCACAGACCGTCACAGACCAAACCAACCCTAAACGCGCGCCCTAGACCCCAAACTTTAAACCCCAACCACTGCTCTAGTCTACTGTATACTTTTTTACTCTAGTATCGTACTACCGCCAACCTCTAAAACGGGGAATTCTTGGGCCGCGCCTGGTTGTAGCGCGCCTGGCATTCTGTAAACTCTTTGTCCTTGGCCTCAAATAGCTCCTTCGAGCCAGGTCCAAATTAGGCCACAGGGTTTAGTTTAAGGTTTAGGGCTTAGGGCCTAAAGCTTAGGGTACTAACACGGAGCCGCCCTGGCGGCAAAAGGGCTGTAGAACCAATCTCACGTTGTCAGATCCACTCTTAACGCCTGAACTCCCCCAAGCCCACAACCCCAAAACCTTAGAGAAATCAAATCTGTCAAAAAGCCTTCATACTGCACCCTACAAACCAGAAACCTCACAAAGTTCCCTAAACCCTGAAGCCCATATAACAACTTCAAAGACGCCAAAGTCTTGCGAACAGTCCGGGCGTCCTGGGCTCTTATCAGATTCTCCAGCGCTCGCTCGCGCTGCTCCGACCGTTTCTCCTGACCTGAGAGAGCTCGGGGCTTTATATATGGGTTTGGGATCCTAGGAGACGAAGGTTCAGGGTTGCATAGTCGTAGCTCACATGGACCTGCGGAAGTTTATAGAGTCCCAACTTCAGGAGCTCCAGCCGGCAATGCTAAACATTTTCCCATGTAAGTCCCAGGAAAAGCATAAGTCGACATATAGGTTTGAGAAACCCATCGAAAATCCACCGTCACAGAATCCACAGCAAACCTTCTTCGACCCTAAATCCTGCTCAACCCTGTATCCTAAACCTAAGCCCTCATCCGCCGTGAGCTCTTCACTCTCAACTCCGAAAACTGCGCAACTTCGAATCGGTCTTGTTTTTTCCTCGGCCCGCGCTGCATCCACTCCGCCGGCATCCAGCAGGCTCTCCACCAGGTCCCTCCTCGACTCAGGGTTCACTTCCATCCAGGGCTTCGATCTGATCTTTTTGGGTTTTGATGTATTTTTGGGTCCAAATTTGAGTCTGTTCAAAACGGGCTCATGCAAGGAGTATGTGCGGCATGGATCTTACTCTTGGTGGAGACATTGTGGTCTTGGGATCTTCTCAGGGTTGCGAGTCCTGCGAGTGCTGGGGGTTCAGGCCTCAGGGAACTTAGTGTGTAGGGCGCTGCTTTCGTGGTTTTTCAAAAGTGTAAGAGTGTGCTGAATGTTCGGGAGTTGTTGCTCGCGGTAGAATTGGTGGGCACAAGTACGAGGAACAGGGTATCATGGCTTCACGGGTTCAGGTGTCGGGTTTCGTTGGGAAGGCGCATGGTGGTGTCATTTGTTGCTCCCCATGAGGGATCTTTTCCACCCCCAGGTGGAAAAATCAGTGACTGTGCAGTGATGCAATGGTATAGCAAGATCACCATATAATCATAACCTTACTCACAGAAAACCCTACGATAGCAAACGTCAGAATTCCCAGACCAGTCACAAGCCGAAAACCCCTCAAGCCTCTGCATGTGCCCGGCACGCCGCCAGGTGTGGAATGCAAAAGGCCATACGCGCCACCCGCGCGCCCTTCAGCACACGGTTTGAGACTTTGGCGATTGCCAGGTTTGGGGCCAGGGTCCTATGCATGAATATGGCGTCTCAAGGAAAGCGGGAAAGAACGTCTGGTTCTGTGGTACTTCACGAAAAGACCGTCTTCGCAGAATGTGGAGCTAAAGGTACTGAGTTACTCCCCAGGATACCCGTCCATACCTATCTCTGATGTGCTATGGCATTCGGGAATCAATCAGGAATTATTACTTCCCACCAGTTTCCGTCTTCGTTGGGTTTGAAGTGGTCCCGCCGGAAGTGCCTCAGCAAATGCAGTTGCGCCGCCTTCTCATGGCAAAGCTCCACTCCTTGCTCGGCATCTAAATCCTCCTCAGCATAGGGCCCCGGGCTGGTGGTTTTGAAGTAGGCATCCTCCGGCATAAGGCAGAACGCCGTATCTCCCACTGTAGCATGAATCTCAAAAGGCCCTTCCCAAAGAGGGCCCTGCACCTCTGAGCCGGGACGTAGGGCAAGGATGTGCTCCTGGAGCTCTAAGGCCACCGGACGATTTCGATGTTCTGCCTTTCCCTCCTCACTCTTCGGGTCCAGAGGCCCCAAGAGAAGCTCCAAGGCCGAGGCCTGGTGAAGCGTCTCGGGCTGCACCTCTGTGGGGCGCGGCATCTGCCCCCAAGAGGCAGAAAGCGTCTCGAAGGAGGAGCAGAAGGGTGCCCAGCCGGGGTTTTTGAGGGAGTCTGAGGCCCTCTTCTCTTGTGACCAGAGCTCCGGATAGAGGCAGAGCTGGGAGTACAAAGTCGAGGTTTGGAGTTCGAAGTCAAAGGCCTCTGCTGTGGCAAGGCCCAGGCACCGAAGAGCCAGCTGCTCATGCACCTGCCAGCATGGGCTCTCGAGCCTGGGCCTCGCCAAGGAGGGTGGCAACTGTCTCAATGCGCGGTAGGCCGTGGCAGTCTCCAAGGGGCTCAAGACCGGCAGAAGACTCTGCAAGGCTGGAAATAAGGCTTCCAAGCTGCCTCTCCAGAACCCCGAAATGGCACCTCCCCTTTGAAGTCGGGAATCTTCAGCAGCCAAGCCAAGGGACTCAAGCAGGTCGAGAAGCCACCAGGCACCTTGCAAGTGCATCCCCTCCAAACCCTGTAGCCTCATCTCACACTCTGCAGCCATCTGAGCCTTCACCCGCGGAGATGAAGCCAATCCCAACAAGGCCACGGACTTCGACACCTGGCCAAACAGCTCGTTACTCAAGTTGCCAAGCTGGAGGTTCCGTGCCAGCGCGGCCAAGAGCTCCGGCGTCTTCAGGCCCAGCCGTGCGCAGGACACCGTGAGCTCGGCCAGTCGGTCCAAAGGAAGCTCCTCTGCACCTGGGTAAACGAGTTTTACATAACAATAAAAAGACGGAAATCGTGCTTGTTACATACAATATAATATAATATAGCATAATATGATATAAGAAAATATAATATATCTATTTATGTTATATATATATATACACACCTATGCCTATCCTGGTTAAAGCTGACTGTGTTCAGCTCCTGAACGAAGACCCAGGCACAATGCGGCAGGCGTGCCTGGAGCATGGCCTTGATGTTCGGGAAGATGAGGAAGAACTGGCCATAAGAGAAGGCCACCAAGGCCAAGTCCAGTGCAGAGAGGCGTGGGCCCATGGACACGAAGACGTTGGCCGAAGCCGCCAGCAATGGCTCATGACAGAGGCCAACGGCCGCAAAAGCCGAAAGAAAAGCCGAAAGATCCTGTGGCGAAAAGACGTGGAGCTGCTTCAGCGATGCCTGCGCCATCCTTGGGAAGAGGCGGCGGTCTGCCAGCCGGGCACGTGCAAAAGCCGAGGCCACCTTCGTCAGCTGAGGAGCCGATGCGCCGGAGACCCGCAAGCTGAAGGCAGCGGAGAGGCGCGCGAAGACGGGAGCCACGGGAACTGAGACTTCGGCCAGGTTCTCCGCCAAGCCGGCCATGTCATTGTTGGAGATGTCCGCTAAGCCCGCAGACAATCGCGCACCAAGTGCTTGCAAAGCGGCTGCATCCGGACGGGATGCACTGTTCAGGTGCATCAGTGCCCCTAGCACTCTGATGCAGTCCTTTCCATCCATGTCTTGCACCTTCGTCATGGCCACCACGACTGCTTCTTCAAAGTCCTGGCTGTTCAGAGCCCCGGGCTGTGCGAGCAGCCGCCCCAAGGTCTTCACGGGCAGCTTAGGCAAGGCCTGGTTTCCAAGCGTCTGGCCCAGCGCAACTCCCACTTGAGCCGCGGTGGCGAACCGGGCGCTGCCTCGTGGCCAGAAGCGGAGGCTTCCAAACATCCAGCTGTGGCTGCAGAGCTCTGGCAGCAAACGCAGGCGCGGCATTGTGTGCAGAGCCATCTGCATGCGAGCTAGTACAGGGTTGGAAACTGCAGGCAGACTTCACGACTTAACGCAATCGAGAGGGTGCTTTCAAACTTGCGACGCTGCCTAGCGAGACGAGCTTCGACGCATCTCTTTGCTCACTATTGGCATCCGTTGGATGCGAGCTTTAGCATATGCATCTTTCATTCAAGCTTGCAGCAGTGTAGATCATATCAGCCAGGTTTATCAAGTTGGCTGTTGAACTGATCCCACAGTTGCCAGAAGCTTCAGAGCTTCCTTGTGTATTCGAATCAGGAAGTCTTGCAGGTTCTTGTAGACAACTGCACCGAAACGGGGCAGTATCCCCTGCCTCCAATTGCCTCTCGTAAGTTCCATGTCCGTTTAGTTTATGCGAAAAAAACAACCTCTCTGTGGTGACCATGGCATGCACATCTAGAATCTAGAGGTTCGGACATGATGTGATGTCACTGCACGGCATCTTGAGTGCTGTACCGGCACTCAGCTCGTTTGCCTTCTTGATGATATGTTCCACCTCCTGGACCGGGCATGGTGATTTCCTCTGGATGACGTAGTCTAGCACTGGAAAATAGCAGCTCCTGAACAACCAAACGAAACAGCATCGCAAACCCGAAAGGCCTACATATCGCGAAGAGAAACCGCAGTCAGACCGAAACTAAATGGCAGAATTAACTTCACAACTTCGTCACGGCCAGCAGCTCATGCAGTCTTCTCATTTCTTCGGCTACGACTATCCCGAACCCACAGGAATGCCCGGACACCGTGCAAAGCCACACGAATTCAACCGACGGTTTGTGAGAACAAAAGATACATATTCGTTGAGCCTATGCAAGCCTACTTCGCCAACCCCCTCAGTGCCTAACCGACGTTGATGAAGATCATACTTGCATCGGCGATGGCATAAGTGAAAACTTGTGTCTAGGAAGAGCGCGCTTGAATTAGAATTTCGGACGCGCACCTTGTTGCCCTGTAAGAAGAGCGAATGCTATGCAACTTTCGAGGGACTCTGCTTGTACCATGTTGCGGTACTAGGTGCTAATTGATTGCGTACCTTGACCGTCGAAACGACAGAACTACCAGTATCCTAGTGCGAAGATGATAGCCAAAAGCCCACAGCCCCTGCAGGGTCCCTACAGCAACTATTAGAACTACCAATCTCATTTTTTTTTGCAGAATGATACCTCAAGAACCACAGCCTTTGCAGGTCCGCAAAAAATTCTAGATCAGAACTGCAGTCGTCGCAAGAAGGGAACACGAAGCCTCAGAAGGGTCGCAGGCCTGACTCGTCCACTCACCATCCTGTGGCTTCGGCTCCTCCCTCGGAGACACGAGGAAGAAGGACCGGTTTGGGATGTTTTTTTGCCTCCTACTTTTGGGGATGTTTAGGATTTAGCTTGTAGGTTTAAGATTTTTTGCCTCCTGCCTGGCTAGGACGAACCTTGAGGATCTAGGCCCTTCAGGCTTTAGGGTTTCGGGGTTGCTTCTCTCACACTCTCACGAGGCAGGCAAGGATCCGTGACATGTCCCGAGTCAGTGTGAAGCCAAACCTGCATCGAACGTGCCCACCTCGATCCCTACCAGAAACAACTCAGCGACGCAAAGGGTTTGGGTTGAGGGTGTTGAGATTTGAGGATTTGAGGAGTTATGAGGATGCAATCATACATATAGGGTACATTATGAATCATCATTAACAACACAAGCAGTACTATGGCTGGTAGTTCATAGACAAGTCATACTCATTATAAGGAGTTTTCGGATCCAAACATCACAGCAGCTGCCCTCAGGCCGCAGCTTCGCGCCAGCGGCCGAGGGAGACTTCATGGCCCCTAGGCGGACATGCAAAACCCCAGTTCAGGGTTAGGATTTCGGGGAGGTTACAGGGAGGGGGGTAGGGGACCCCACATACCAATCATACCAAACCCATATTAGGTCTTGCTTGGGGTGACTATAAGGCCCTCGAACCTCCGGGTTCGAGGTTCAGGCTCGAGGCTTGGGCGGCCCCTACTGACGATGAAGGTTCTGCGGCCTGATCACCTTCTTCTTCGAAGCTGATGGCTCTTGCTAGAACGATACCGAGCTTGGAATGTCAACCACTCAAAACTGCCTGATGAGGGTTCACTATGGGTTTATGATTATGTCTGCATCTCCCATTCGCAACTCGGATTATGGGCGTGAGAACCTTGACTCTATCCGACATCTGACCCTCAACTTGATAAAGCCTGTGATAGCCCATGTTCCCAAAATCCAGCTGAGAAGCGGGCCGCCAATCGTGCTCTGCACCCCGAGCGCCCGATTGCTCTGGCGACGTTTTGAGCAGAATGGGGCAGAGGCCGGAAATCGTTAAGAGGCCTTGTTGCCAACTGCAAGGTGGTCTCCCTGAAATGTATGGAGCGTGCCCAGCTTGGTACGTCGCGAAGCACCAAGGAGTTGAGATACCGCTTAGTCCTGATATTATACCCTTTTCAGCACGGACTGAGG